CGTCTCTCATCTGATGCATACCTCAATCGGGAGCTCCCCACCAAGCTGTTCTATGTAGCAAATCACTTGTCCCTCTTTCACGGTTTGCTTCTGTTGTGTGAAACGGAAAGAATTAGAAAAGTAACTTAAGAGACTAAAGCATTTTGTCAATGATATGATAAAGAGAGCATATCGGTTGTATAAAATAGTGCGATATACATTATAGTACAAAATGAACCTATACTAAGCCGAAAAATTAACAAGCCAAGAAGTACAAGCCCATCAAAGGTCCAAAATTAAGCAAAAGAAAACAAATTATCCCCACTTCCTGGCAGTGTGCCAGCCATTACTGCCTTTAAGCAAGCACAAAATTCCACAATTTTTCCCTCAAAATTAATAAATCACCGTAAAAAGTTGTACCTCATTACATGATGGTGGAGCACGCTTCCCCTTTATGGTTCGAGATCTCCTAAACAACCCCACCTGCACCATTGGTTATTTTAGTATCCAGATTTTATAAGATGATAAAGTGCATGTTGTTTGGCTTCTTACTCGTGGAGAACGAATTAACACCAAGCCATCATCTGTCGCTCTATCTACCAAAGTCTGGATACTCCTCGAAGACGATACTTGTCTAGTGATAGCTACAGATTGTGTAGGAACAGCGCCATTCGAATCAAGTGCTTTAGTATTTTCACTAGCACTAACAGGGGTAGGACTTGGGGGAGGTGGTGTGCTAAATTTTTCAGTCGGCTGCCTCACCACATTTAACCGAAATCCACCGATCTGATTATGTGGTTAGATTGTGTGAATTAATAATATACCGGATGGAGGATCAACAGAAGCACCCCATACTAATAGGAAGCATAAAGAAAAAAGGAGAGTGGTTTGGAATGAAAAATTTAATCGTATGTTGCAAGATTATTTACAATTCATGTAAATTATTAAGTTAAAATAGAGAAACGGTCTTGCTTACTTTTACTTTGACCTCTGCAACTGTAGGTGTATCACATATTGCTGTGAGCAAAGATTGTACCTACAAACAAGATTAACCAATGTACAGGTTTCAAACTCAAAAAAGTGATCACAAGCGTGCTTTTTTTTCAGTAAATGATGAGAAAATTCTGTAATCTAATTATAAATAAAATGAAAGCCACGAATTTCGTGGCAACGCTACCAGAAGTAAATTTCAACAGGAAAATTTTATGGGGGCACTTCAACAACCTATGATGCACGGATACTTCAATTTGGTCGTGTGTTAAGATAGTACTGGAAACAAAAAGTAGACAGATTTCGTAAAAATATCCCTATATTTCACAATGCCATCCAGGTCTATACTAAACCGGCCTAGAAATACATATTTTTCAGTCTAAGAATGAAGCTTGTCTTTTCTTTCTTATATTTAAGTACTAGAAAGCATTACGTTCCGATATACAATGGACCATAGCAGGATTTCCCAAAACCAGTGATGAAGATTAAATGCATGCAACTTGTGGGTTATAGCAAACCTACCAATAACCTATTTTCTCCCCTTTTTTTTCAACACAAACTAAAAAAGTAAACTTGTGCAACTAAATGCAACTGGAAGGATTTTACATTTGCCCTTCGTGTTTGTCTTACCATTTGATACATAAAAAGGACAACATTGAAAAAATAGTTCTTGGATCATAATTCCTCCCAAGATAAAAATCTAAGAAACAACCATGCCTACATTCAAAACTGCACTAATCCATAATTATTTGTCAAATTTAGACATGGGGCATAGAATAAGGGTTGTAAATTATTAGTGAAGTTACCTCGTCAAAATTTTGAATGAGCTGATTTGTCGGACCAGAATCTCCACTCTCTTCAGGAACCTCTTCTAAACTTGTAGCAGCTATTAGATCATCAACAAAAGCATTGTGTTATGAATAGATTATACATTACAAGAACCAATATTTTCATGTCAATACCATATGCAGTGTAAATATTATTTTTGTTTCTACAAGTTCGTACTTCAAAACTGTCATATTCAGTAAATGTATCTGTACTAAAAACAAAAATGTCATCCTCAGTTACTATGCCAATGGGACAGATTCTCAAGTTTCACAGCTCATGTATTGGAGGGGAAACAAATAAAGAATGAAGGGAAATTATGACGGAACAAAATATAGAGAGAAAAGATTAAAAAGTCTTAACATTTACAAATCAGTCAAACTTACAATATCCGTCGAATTATACACAATAATAATCCCCAAGATAATGCCTACCCAAAGTTTCAGTCGCAGATTACTGGATATATAAATATGACCAAATATGACTTAACAGGTTTCAAGATGTACACTATAGTTTTGGAAATGCAACAATATACCTCCAATCATTTGTTTTATAAAAAATATGATAAACAAATATCATTCGTTGCTTCAACATTGATTGAAGAATATAATAGGAATACAAGACTGTAAAATCACATACCGTACCTAGACAATGTAACTTAAGAAAATGGATTATTTTTCTTTGAAAAACTGTTTGCTAAAGTGGATATAATTGCACATGTAAATATATCCAGACTATCAAATACTCAATTTCCATGTCATTTTCACTTCAGTATGAGCTACTGCCCAAATTTTATAAGCTTAAAATAAACAGAGATTCTAATGTAATAGCATGTAGATATTTATGTACATGCATCGGTTATTGAGAAGCCACATGTGATTGAATAACAACAAACAAACTTAATGTTTCAAGTACTGGTAAGCAAATTCCAGATTTGATTGATGTTTCAAATACTGATAAGCAAATTCCAGACCTGATGTATAACTACCGAGGGACGAAAAGGAAACAATTTACATCAATAAAATGAACTTACACAGGGTTTCTAGTGATGGAATGCTGCGCACATGTAATGCTTTCTCTGGCTGTCTTGATATCGATAAACATGAGTACAATTGTGGTTTTCTCCCCGTCCAACTTCTTACGCCATATGACTTTAGAACCCCAACTCTTGCTTTACCGAAGTTCAAGTTTGTGATTTTAGCATTCAATGTCCCTAGGCTACCTGCCACCCAAATCCTATCAGAAATTATCAAATAACTAAAATCATAAAATAAAATATGAATCGTGCAGTGCATCGACTAGCTTGGTATAAGAAATGATTCTACGAAAAATAAGCAGACAATAAGAACCCTCTAATTAAATTTCAATCAGAATCTGTTCATGCAACACAATTGTAACATATATATAACCCAAGAAAGCAGTTCTTCACCTTTTCTATCTTTCTATATCATTTACCAATTACCATAAGAAACCAGACCCAATTGAATTCAGAATCAGATTCACAGGAAAATTGATGGCAATGCATCAAACAAGTACTAAGCACTGCTGCATTTACATGGTTAACCTATTCTATGAGCAGTGCCAAAAACTTCCACGGATACAAGCTGCAAAATCCCAACCCCAATTTCCAACTAGATCAAGAGATTAATTAACCAAAAACCCACATCCCCAAAACCAAAAACAACCAATATAAACATTGAAGTCAGAGTTTTCTCAAGTGTGCTGTCTGTGTGTGGAAGAGAGAGGGAGAGAGGAAGACTCACTGGAAGCCATGAAGATGGATGAGCCTGAAGGGGGGCCAGAGAATGAAAGAAAATGGTAAGAAGTTTTAGAAACTTCACAGAAAAAAAACACAAACGAAACGTCAGTGAAACACAGCAGAAATCGGAGAGAAGGATGCAGAGAGAGAGAGAGCGAAGGGAGTAAAAATTAGAGACTTTGAGAAGCTGAGACACACGGCCAAGAAATGACAATTGAGTAGGAGGACCAGTTAATCACTACCAAACATACAGCTGGAAACTTGGATACGTAGTGGCTGGGGCCAAGCGGCCCAAGCCCAAACCTTGATTTTCCTCAACATATTTTGCCCCTTTTTTTTTAATTTTTATTTTCATCTCTTGTTTTCAAATGTACAGTTATGTTTGGTTTGCCAACAAAATTATGTTTTTGTTGTAAAAGTTGTATGGTGTATGCCCACATCCCACATGCATTAGTATACCCACATCCCACATGCCTTTGGAAAAAGGTGAAAATGATAGTAATATATTTGTTGTTATGTAATATTGTCAAAAGTAGTCATCATATCATTTTGGATGTTCTCATGGGAGTAGCTCTATAAATAAATTGATCCATGTGTTATCAAAACACAAAATGCGAAAGAAAGAATCAAATAAATAATATCAGTATATCTCCCTCCCTTTCTTTATCTACCATCCTTTGTGTTATAGCTACTAAAGTTATAGTGTGATATTTTGCACATGTTTTGCTCATGTCTTTAGCAAGGGTTATTTCTCTAACTTTTGCCTATTTATAACACGTTATCAGCACGACTCTCTAACCATTTCTCATTTCCCTTCGTCGAAAGAAAAAAATGTTTCCTCCTAGGATTTTACTGTTCTTCTTCTTTCTTTGCCTCACCTACTGGATATACTCTTGTGAAGAACTGTTTGCACCTTGCCTACTTCTCGTTCTCAATTTAACAATTACTTATATATTTGATTTCGTATTTGGTGTAGCTCCTGATTACTAACCCAGTATTTATTTATGTTAATTTTATTGCGATAAAAGATGGTGCGGTATCATCACCCATCTTGGACTGCAGATTTAATTTTGCTGCAATTTTAAGTGGTACGGTATAATCGTCCACCCTGCATATTTAAATTTGACTGACTGCTATTTAATTTTACTACAATTTTAGGTGGTGTGGTATAATCGCCCACCCTACTTTGCATAGTTAAATTTTCTTGTAGTTTAAGTGGTGTGAAATAATCGCCCATCCTATGCTTACTTCAATGATAATGATGCAGTACAATCGCCCTTCTCATCAATCATGCAAATCTCGAGCCTCAAGTTCCGAGTGCTTATCATTTTGGCCTAAAGATCAAAATGAAAAATTTGTAAGAACCAAAAGTTCTAACACTATATTCCTCCAGGAATACATATTATTGCAAGTTCTTACACATCTCATTTTTCTTTCAGAACAGAAAATGGCAAACTTGTCAAAGCTTGATTTTGTTGCCTTGGACATTACTGAGAAGAACAACCTTACCTGGGTAGTGGATACCAAGATCTATCTAGAGGCAAGAAATCTTGGAGAAACCATTAGGGAGGAAAACAGTGCATCTTCTCAAGATCAGGCAAAGGCCATGATCTTTATTCGTCGCCACCTTGATGAAGGACTAAAGAGCGAGTACCTTACAGTTGAAGATCCATTAGCTCTTTGGAAGGCATTGAAAAACAAATACAATCCCCAGAAAACAGTGATTCTTCCAAGAACTTGTTATGAGTGGACTCACCTAAGGATCCAGGATTTTAAGTCAGTGGCTGAGTACAATCTGCGATGTTCAGAATTAGCTCCCAGATGAAGCTCTGTGGGGAAACCATCACTGAGGAAGATATGCTGGAAAAGATTTTTAACACCTTTCATTCCTCCAACGTGCTCCTGCAGCAACAATATAGAGAGTGAGGCTTCAATGAATACAACCAGCTGATATTTGTGCTCCTAGTAGCTAAACAAAACAATGAGCTCTTGATGAAAAATCATCAGTCCCGACCTACTGGATCGGCACCATTCCCAGAAATGAATGTTGTTTCCCTTGAATGGAATACCACATCCTCTTGTGGCAATAATTACAAATGAGGACATGGCCATAAGCGAAGCCAGTGGAACGGGAAAGGTAAGAACCATGGTGTCCAGTTTCACAAACAGGTTCTAAGGCATAATTCAGGCCTGAGCTTCAAGAATGCAAATCGCCACAAGGCAAAGCTCATATGAACAACATTCCTAGAAACTCTGAAGAAGCTTGCCATAGGTGTGGTGGCAATGGGCACGGGGTGTGTACCTGTCGTACCCCAAAACATCAGGTGGATCTATATCAAGCGTCCCTTAAGGAGAGGGGTGTCCAAATCAATTTCATCGACCAGGCTAGACCAATGGATATACCTAATCCAATGCTCAACTTATCAAGGCAGTTAAACACAACCCACCTAGATGCTTCAGAATTCATAATGGAAAGAAGGAATGAAGTGTACTGGTCCGATTAAATCATTTATGTTTGATGTATTTTTTATTCTGAACTTGTAGTTTAAAACTCGCATTTCAATTCAATAGAAGTGCCATTTCAATTTCCTTTTATGAATAAGTTGTTTTTAACTGTGATCCTATTTACTCAAAAAGTATGGATAAAAATTGTGGTTATTCTCAAAACATGAAAAATGGCAAAGATATTTGTCTTGCAAACAGCGCAACCACTCATACAATACTTCGTGATCGAAAGTATTTCTCAAGCTTAATGCTTACAAAAGTAAGGGTAACAACAATATCAGGGCAATCAGATGTAATTGAAGGCTCAGGGAAAGCCCAGATTATGTTACCAAATGGAACAATATTATCCATTCAAAATGCATTGTATACTACTCGATTTACTCGAAATTTGTTGAGTTTCAAAGACAAACGTTTAAATGGATACCACATTGAAACGAAAAATGCAAAAAATGTGGAATATCTATGCATTACCTCCAATAATACCCAGAAGTGTATATTGGAGAAGTTGTGTGGTTTGTCGAGTGGATTATATTATACATTCAAAAACACAGTTGAATCACATACTGTCATGAACCAAAAGTTCATTGATTCAAAAGTTTACATGCTTTGGTATGACCGTCTGTGCCATCCAGGATCCACCATGATGCGTAGGATCATTACCAACTTTAATGGACATCCATTATTGAGCAAACACATTGGTATCTCAAATGATAACCCTTACAAGGCTTGTTCTCAAGGGAAGTTGGTAATTAGACTATCACAACTAAAGGTTAATGTTGAATCCCCATCATTTTTGCAATATTTGTGGGCCTATTCAACCATCTTGTGGACCATTTCGATATTTTATGGTTTTGGTTGATGCATTTACCCGATGGTCACATGTTTGTCTCTTGTCTACTCAAAATGTAGCTTTTACGAAACTTCTTGCTCATATGATTAAGTTGCGAGCATAGTTCCCAGATTACCCCCTTAAGTCAATCCGACTTGATAACTCTGGTGAATTTACGTCCCAAACCTTTAATGATTACTACAAGACATTAGGCGTTGATGTTAAACACCCTGTTCCTCATGTCCATACTCAAAATGATTTAGCAGAAGCATTGATCAAGAGGCTTCAGTTAATAGCTCGCACTCTACTTATAAAAACAAAATTAACAATTTCTGCATGGGGACATGCCATCTTACATGCTATATCATTGGTTCGATTTAGACCTATAGCCAACCACCAATTCTCCCCAGTACAACTCATGTTTGGGCATCAGCCAAACATTTCACATTTACGAGTTTTTGGTTATGGTGTTTATGTGCCTATTGCACCGCCACAACGCACTAAAATGGGACTTCAGTGCAAACTGGGAATTCATGTGGGTTTTGATTCACCATCTATCATTAGATATTTGGAACCCTTGACAGGTGATATATTTACAGCTAGTTTCGCGGATTGTCATTTTGATGAGACAGTCTTCCAGTCATTAGGGGGAGAAAAGACTGCTCTAGAAGAACAGCAAGACCTGTCATGGGTTGTTCCCATCTTATCTCATTTTGATCCACGAAGCACTCAATGTGAAAATGATCATTTACCTTCAAAGTATTGCTAATCAAATGCCAGATGCATTTAATGATGCTTCAAAAGTGACAAAGTCACATATACCAGCTGCAAATGCACATGTAAGAATGGATGTCCCTATTGAACAAAATAAAGTGGCAGCAAATGAATCATCTGGTGCACGCCTAAAGCGTGGTAAACCCCCAGGTTCAAGAGATTCAGCCCCTCGAAAGAGAAAGACGAGGGCACAAATGAATCCAAATGAAATCATTCAAGAAAAGAAAATGAATGATAAATCCCCAATTCATGATTCTAAAAAGGAAAATGTCCTTGATGAGACACATGTCCCTAAAGAGACAGAAGTACATGAAAGCAAAGAAATCTCCATAAATTATGCATGTACTAATGAATTGTGGGATCGAAATAAAATAATCATCGACGACATGTTCGCATTCTCAGTAGCCAGTGAAATCATATTAAGCGATGATATTGAGCCCCGCTCTATTGATGAATGCAAACAGAGACAAGATTGGCCTAAATGGAAAGAAGCAATCCAAGCAGAATTAAATTCCTTGGAAAGGCGAAGTGTTTTTGGACCGATAGTCTAAACCCCGCCTGATTTAAATCTCGTGGGTTACAAATAGGTATTCACAAGAAAGCGCAATGAGAAAAACGAGATTGCAAGATATAAAGCATGGCTCGTTGCACAAGGTTTATCACAAAGACCTAGAATTGATTATGAGGAGACATACTCTCTTGTAATGGACGCAATTACATTCCGTTACTTAATAAGTTTAGTGGTTTCAGAAAAACTTGACATGCGACTTATGAATGTCATCACCGCGTATCTATATGGAGAATTAGATACAGACATATATATGAAAGTCCCAGAAGGACTTAAGTTGCCTAAAATGACTAACAAACCATGAGGTATGCTCTCAATCAAATTAAGGCAATCATTATATGGGCTGAAATAATATGGACGAATGTGGCATAATCGTCTCAATGAGTATTTGATCAAAGAAGGATATATCAACAATGTCATTTGCCCTTATGTGTTTATTAAGAAATCCAATTTTGGATTGCTATAGTGGCAGTATATGTCAATGATATGAACCTAGTTGGAACTCTTGAATAGCTCAATAAAACAGCTAAATATCTAGAAAGCGAATTTGAAATTAAAGACCTTGGGAAAACAAAATATTGTCTCAGCCTGCAGATTGATCATTGTGCTAGTGGAATTTTGGTCCACCAATCAGCTTATATTGAAAAAATCCTGAAGTGATTTGGAATGGACAAGGCTTATCCACTTAGCACACCAATGGTCGTTCGTTCTTTAGACATTAAGAAAGATCCATTTCGTCCAAAAGAAGATAATGAAATGGTCCTTGGTCCAGAAGTACCATATCTGAGTGCAATAGGTGCTTTACTGTATTTAGCACAGTGTACTCGGCCAGATATAGCTTTTTCAGTTAACTTGTTAGCAAGGTATAACTCTGCTCCAACAATTCGTCATTAGAAAAGAATCAAAGATGTTTTGCGATACCTTCGTGGAACAATAGACATGGGTCTCTTCTACTCAGAGAAATCCACAAATGACCAGATCCTTGCTGGATATACAGATGCTGGTTTCCTCTCTGATCCGTATAAAGCCCGCTCACAAACTGGATATGTGTTCACTAATAGAGATACAACAATCTCATGGCACTCAACAAAGCAAACACTAGTTGCTACATCTTCCAATCACTTGGAAATATTTGCTTTACATGAAGCAAGTCGTGAATGTTCTTGGTTAAGATCAATGATCCATCATATCTGGAATTCATGTGGTCTAACTTCAAAGACAGACACTCCAACTGTCATCCATGAAGATAATGCAGCCTGTGTTGCCTAAATAAATGAAGGATTCATCAAGGGCGATAAGACTAAACACATATCTCCAAAGTTTTTCAATGCACATGAGCTTCAGAAGGCTAAAGTTATTGAAGTCAGACAAATCCGTTTCAATGAAAATCTGGCAGACTTGTTCACCAAATCTTTACCAAAGTGCATATTTTAGAAGTTAGTGCAGGGAATCGGATTACATCGGCTTACCAATCAACTAAATTTGAAGAATGCAGAATCAGAGGGAGATATAATTCAGGGGGAGCATCCATGATACATGCATGTTGTACTCTTTTTCCTTCGATTAGGATTTTTCCCATTGGGTTTTTCCTATCAAGGTTTTAACGAGGCAACTGATGTTGATATATGGGCATCCAAGGGGAAATGTTGTAAAAGCTATATGGTGTATACCTACATCCCACATGCATTAGTATACCCACATCCCACATGCATTTGGAAAAAGATGAAAAAGGATAGTGATATATTTGTTGTTATGTAATATTGTCAAAAGTAGCCATCATATCATTTTTGGATGTTCTCATGGGAGTAGCTTCATAAATAGATTGATCCGTGTGTTATCAAAACACACAATGCGAAAGAAAGAATCAAATAAATAATATCAGTATATCTCCCTCCCTCTCTTTATCTGCCATTCTTTATGTTATAGCTACTAAAGTTATAGTGTGATATTTGCACCCGCTTTGCTCCTATCTTTAGCAAAGGTTATTTCTCTAACTTTTGCCTATTTATAACAGTTTTAGTGTTGGTGATTTTTAGTTGAAATTGGACTCTTGGTCTTTTTCAATTTTCATGTTGATGCATATGGACTAGCATTATAGATTTCAACTAAAGTCAGCAATGGATAATTTGATTAATCTAATTTTACATAA